TTTTGGGCTTTTTTTTTTTTCTTCTTCTTCTTCGTCGTGCTGGTCCTCATTTGTCCTACTCTGCAGCCGGTGCGACAAGTTTGTGACCGCCGTCATGGACTCCACACATGCCTTCAAAGTATACTGATTAGCCTCCACATCCGTTTGCACTGCCATTTTTTGCTCCACCGACTGCATCGGAAAGTTCAACGGAGCAAACCCAGTGGTGTTTGGTTGAGGTTCATGGGCCACCGCACCAGTTCTCTCTCCTGTGGACTCGTTCAGGTCTGGAAAGAGAGTGAGCAACCCACGGGACGACGAAGCCATTTTCTGGGCAACAGAGTATTACAGAGTCTCTCTCTCAGAAATGGCAGAGTTTTTCAGCGGATTTCGCAGGTTTTTTGCTTCTGCCTCGGCCTCAGGCTCTGTCTTGGTTAAATAGCCGAGGTAGCCACGCGCATCGCGCGCCTCTTGCCGCCGACAACCTGGCACGCCTTTTCATGGCACGCCTTTTGATGACTCGGGCACGCCTTTTGATGCCACGCCTTTTGAGGGCACGACTTTTGAGGGCTCGATATCTACATCTATGTATATCTTTTGGACAGTCTATCTCCACACTCCTACAGTGTCTTCTACACCAGTCAGCTTTATCAATCCCTTTGTTTCAACCTCAAATAGGTTTCTATCTTCACACCTATTTGAGTTTGAGGGGGGGTTATACACAGTATCATGTATAAGTCGCTCATGGCGCACTCCCTAAAGTCGCCCCCTTGGTGCACCACCACAACCTTTGCTACATCGGTCCGACATGACCCCGTAAACTGTCTTCTACAACGGTCCGACATGACCCCATAAACTGTCTGCTACATCGGTCTGACACGACCACACACTGTCTGCTACAACGGTCCGACACGACCATACAGTATCTCCTATCCCATTTTTAATTTTATTTGTCAGCTTATTTTTCTGTTTTGTTACTCTCTCCAAACTCAAGTTGGCTAGTACCTATCCTCCTTGAGTTTGAGGGGGGCTGTTAATGTAAATATAAATTTACCTACACCTACCACCACCTACTACCACACCTACTACACCTACCACCAATTTACCCTCACCTACTCCTCACCTACTACCCAAATCCTCTTCTATATAATAGGAATCCTTGTAATATCAATATAACAACACAACAATATCAATCAATAATACATACATTTTAACAGGTGGTGTGGTGTATGAAGTGTGTGGTTGATGAGTGTGCGGCCTCTCTTTCTAAACCCGTGTGTGTGTGTTCAGTGGTGAATGGGTGTGTTGAGTGGTGTTGTGCATGTGTGTTGGGATGGCAGTGGTGGTGTGGTGAGAGTGTGTGTTGTGCATGTGTGTGGTGTGCTGCTGCCGCGAGTGTGTGTGCAGTGTGTATGTGTGGAGAGAGAGACCCAGCTAGAGAGAGATGAGAGTGAGAGCCTTTTTTTGCATGTGTTGTCCTCTTCTTCAATCATACACTACCCACTCTTTTTTCATTGGACCACCCACTCCCTCTTTGTCTTTAAAACATACCATCCTACCACCTTTGAAAACCCACTTCACCGAATTAACATACAGATCCATCAGCTTTTGAACCACTTCCTGAAACAATAATGCTAGGTATCATGAAAACAATGTCATGAAAAGTTTTCATGGAGATTCTCTATCCTTGGATTAGATTATAGTGTTTGTAGTGTTTTATTGTATGTTATGCATTCACCCTTAGATTAATTTCATGATGTTTTTCATGTTATTTATTTCATGATACGTAGCATTACCCTTTCCTGAAATTCTCTCCCATCTTCTCACCTGCTCTCTTTTTTATATTATTCACCCACGAGAGAGAGGCCCCAACTGCATGTGTGTCTCTTCTTTTTTGAAATTCTATCTCACCCACCCCAATCAAAACAATAAAAATCTCCCTACCTCTTTCTTCCACCATCCACCGAAAGCCATAATCACTTTATTTGGTTTCCAGTTTTTCAAAATACTTTTAAGAAAATTTTATTTTTTTATTTTTTGTATTTTTTTTATTTTTATTGAATTTTTTAAATATTTTAAGTAATTTTTTTTATTTTTTAGACACACCTAACATAAATATACCTAAAAAGTAAAAAAAATTATAAAAAAAATCTTTTAAAAATTCACTAAATACCAAAAATATAAAAAAATACAAGAATTCAGTACATTTTTTGTATTTTTATGTATTTATTAATTTTTAAAAATATTTTTTCACAAATTTTTTACTTTCTAGATACATCTAAGTAAGGTGCATCTAAAAAAATAAAAAAAATGTTTAAAAATTTAAAAATATTCACTAAAAACAAAAAAACACAAAAATAAAAAAAGTCAATTTTCAAAAAACTTAATCTAGAAAACTCAAACCAAACACAGTGAATAATATTCTCTATCCTTCCTTTCTCTTCTCCCCAAAAATATCCCCTTGATCACACTCTAACTTTTCTTTTCTTTTTTCCATTATTTTCTTTTTTTATTTATTTATTTTTTTTAATTTTGTTATGTTGTATTTATCAACATACCTAAAATGTACCAATTTATATAACACCACCTAAAAATATACATACACACATAAAATTATAAAATACTATAAATTAATAATTTGGCCAAAATGAGTGAGGTTTGGAATTAAAACTTCAATCTGATTTTTTGGCTGAGAAATTCATAAAATGACATATTCCAATTTACATCATGGGATGTTCAAAAGAAAGTGCCCAAGTCTTAGGGCTGGTCAAAATGGGGTGTCTACAGGACCCCAGATATTAGAGTGAATAAGGTCAAACATACATGAGGCACGATACATGCGAGGAATATATGAAGTATGAGTATGTTTAGATAGTTCACAAACAACACAATGAAACTGATGATCCTTGTAAGCTTTATTAAGTGACGAAAAAAATAAATAAAAATAATTAAAGTTTGCATGTCCTAAACGAGCATGCCACAAGACTAAAGTCTGAAAAGAAAACACATATGAAGATGACTCAGGTAACACAACTGCTTGCAGGCTAGAAGTGGTAGAATGAGAAGGTGGTGGGTCCCTAAAATAGTATAGCTCGTTGTGCTCAAAGCCACTGCCAAAAATATTTTACGAAGTTAGGTCCTGTAATAAACAATGAATAGGTAAAAAAATAACAGCACAATGAAGGTTTTTAGTAAGGTGACTAACAGAGAGAAGATTATAAGCAAAACGGGGCACATGTGATACAGAAGTAAGTGTAATATCAGACAACAAGGACACATCACCTTTATGTTGGACATGTGACATAGACCCATCAACAAGACATACAATCTGAGCGACAGTAGAGACAAGAGAGGATAAATAAGAAAACTCACCGGTCATATGATCATTGGCCCCAAAATCCAATACCTATGTAGGTGCAGTGCGAACATGAAAGGCTATAGGAGTACCTGTAGCGAGTGTAGCAGTGGAAGGGACACTTGGAGACATGGTAGTGAATGAACCAAGTTGCTCTTGAAGGCAACCAATATGAGATTGAAGCTGATGAAGATCAACAGAATGAGTCGGCTGAGAAGTACTAGATGTGTCGACAATAATAGCTGTAAAGGGAAGGCCTGAAGGGCGGGTCCTTGCAAAGCGTTACTTCAACTCAGGATGAAGCTTGAAGCACCGTGCTTGGACATGACCAGTTGCGCCACAATGGTGGCAGATAACCTTGCTACTAGAAGCATGAGAACTAAACTTGGCAGCAAAAACCATATGATCTGAAATTGAAGATGAGGCAGAAATGGAGGAAGGAAGCGGAACAACCGATTGAATCAATCGATGACGACGCTCCTCGCTGTCAATAGTAGCAAAAGCCTCATATAAGAATGACATAGGTGATGTGTTCAAAATCTGAATACAAAGAAACTCGAATTCAGGTTTTAAACCCATCAGAAATTGATAAGTGTGCTGGCGAGCAAGACGGGCAGACATAATAGAAACGGCAACAGCTGAAAAATCACTCAATGGCTCATACTGTGCTAACTCCTCCCAGCGAGACTGAAGATACCCAAAAAATTCAGCAACGGTAAAACCCAAAGCTTCCTGAGAGGCATGAGAAATATCCTGATAGAGCTTGAAAATCCTAGCATCATTGTGGACGTGTGCATATATCTGGGTAAGAGCACTCCACAACCGAGGAACGATATTACAGTACATAAAGATGTTGTAGATGTGTTCTTCCATAGAGTTGAACATCCAACCAAGTAAGGTGCAATTGT